GCGGGATGGAGGTAGGGGGCGGCGGGTAGTGCCCAGCCGCCCCGTACAAGCCCCAGGCCGGGTACATGGCGGAACGCGGAGCGGACACAGGCCGCGGCGGCGGCGGCGGGCGGCGCAGGGCGCCTGCGCGGGGAGACCCCACCCCGCCGGGCAGTCGAGTATGAGCGCCCCGCCAGAGCGCCCCGCCGGGCGGGTGGCAGCGCCGCCTAGCGGACAGCTGCCTCCTGCGCGGGGCCGAGGGCGGAGGCCAGCTCGGAGCGGCACATCCCGCCCGCCCCGCCGGGACAAGGGACGGGACGGAAGGGGACGGGACACGGGCAGGCGACAGATGGGAGCCACTGCGGGCCCGGCGCGCGGCGCTCCGCTGTGTGTAGGGGTGCCGCCAGGCGCTCCGCAAGCTAGGCTGTGTATGGCGGGCCCGGAGCTCCTGAGGGCCGTGGTGTCCCCGGGGCGGCGGCGCCGGTGCCCTCGGTTACCCACGCTAAAGTGTGAGTTAAACAAACAAGTATGTTCTGTAGGCAGTTAGCAGTGATTTATGCCAAGTGCTGAAGGTACATTGTAGGGAAGAGGTTCGTGTGGGTGTATGTGTGAATTGTAGTAGCTGGGCAGTGAAGCCCGAGTGGCCAAGGGTCAGCAGGACACCAGCACTGCAGTGCGTCTCTGCTTGGTCTCTTGTGCAAGCACAAAAACCCTGAGCCATTTCTGTCATGTTCAGTCTCTAGTTCATGACTGTTGAATCAAGGATCCCTGGACAGTGGAGAAAGACAGGTGTGGAGGAAAGGTCCTAAGACTTTTCAGTCAGGAGAAATATCAAGATCATTACATTGTTAGACAGAGCAGAAGCTTTATCCTCTCTGTTGGAAAAGCTGGACTTTATGTTCATTTGTTGTTAAATTTCAAGAAATCCACAGAGGAGCTATACCATGAATCTGCAAGAAAATATTTGACTAAATTCAACTGAGATGCAAGTATTTAAGAAAACTATCTTCATTTCATACTTACAGAACTGCCTTTTCTATTCTTTAGTATCCCTTCTTTTCATTTTGAGGTGATTATTGATCCTTTTCTATTTAGCGTGGTCTGTTTAGATTTCTCTTGCAGTGAATATGACTTTCAGATAGCATTTATTTTTAGCCCTCATCTAGTGTTCATTGTGCTGTACTTAGCATTTATATACCTGAGTTCTATGGGCCAGTTTAAGCTTTTGAAAGTCTGTCCTTCCCATATATGGAATTCCTGTTGCAAACATCCTTTAATTTATCCTCCTGATCCATTCACTCTATGTGAGATCTCATGTGATCAGTTTACTAACAGTTATTTCCTGCAGGTAGGTGTCTCCCACTATTTTTGCTGTTTGTTGTGATTACTCAATATTGTCAAGAGACTTGTTACTTCCCTTATGAGGGAATACATGTACCTAAACGTTTTCAGGGCAATTGTTGTCCAGCCTACACTGTGGAAGCCAAAATGTAACTTCCAAATAACTTGACAGATGCTTTTTCAAAATTCAAATCTGGTTTAGATTGCGGTACAGTTGACTCCCACCACACAAAATGGCTTTACCCAATGTTACCTTGTCCCTAAAACAACCCTGTTAAGTTCACATTATGCCCTCTGATTCTTTTATTCAGAATATGTTATTTTTATTTTATTCTGTTCAGTCTGTAACATTAAAGGGTGCCATCATATTGGTTTGGGTCAGGTCTTTTTTTTTTTTTTTTAATAGCTCATGTTCTTCCTGCTTCTAAACGCTATTATACCACATTTCAGTTACCCCTCAATTAACCAGTGCCACATCTTGGATCAGCAGCTTAAATTTCTTCATCTGAATCTTAAACCTTCTGGTGGCTCCAGAAAGGAGAATAAATTATTTTCTATCATTCTTTGCATATATTCAGATTTTTTTATGTGGTGCTCCTGTATGTTCTGTGCCTTTTGAAGCTATGGAAACTGGCTACAGCAGGAGGCAGGATGTTAGCAGGGAGGCTGAATTCTCTAGTTACTAAGAAACACTGCAAGCATCTGATATCTAAATCCTGAGCAGGTTTAAACCAACTGCCTGAGTTGTGTCAGGAAGGAATTTCTCTTCTGCTTTTGACTGAGAGAGTTCTTCATTTGTGGGAACATGAAAACATTCTAGTTTGCCAAACTCTTTCCTGCGACAATGATCTTCCCTCCTCTGACATACTGTAAATTGGATCAGACACTGGGATGCCATTGTGTGCATGCAGTAAATATTTTCCTCTGAACCAAGTGTTTGGTACACAGGTTCCCTGGCATTGCAGGAGAAATAGATGATCATTCAGGTGGTCCTCTCCTATTCATCTTCTGACCAGGCTCTTCGAGTTAATAGCCAAGTTTTTTGTCTTACCATAATAAAAATTTCCTCATGCGTTTGCTCACTGCCAATACTTTCTTCTGCTCATGCTCCAACCCTCCTAACACATCTTTAGCAATTGCCTTATACCTATTCCAGATTCCTCATCCTTTTACTGAAACAAGGCAGACTAAAAGGAATAAAAGATTTCAGTAAATGTGCACATTTAGTTTGACTCCTACCCACCATTCATGCTAAATACATATATTTTCATGAAGTCCCTGCAAAAGACATTCTGCTGGCAGGTATAAAAATCCCCAAATTCATCAGGCTGCTGTGCCTTTGACCTCTTACATGCCAGAAAGACTATTATCAAATGTTACCCTAAGTGTCCATTCCTTTCTTCTTTCTTCTCCAGCCTCCTTCTGTTTAGGTTAATTCTAATAACAATTCTAGTTAACTGGAACAATTCTAGTTAACTATTCACTCAAAGAAGTCTTAAAACTAGAATTATTCTGAAAAGCAAGTAACAGAGATCTAATCCTACAACTGTTTCTCAGTCCTTGCTTGACTAAACTTGGGTTTCAATTTTCATGACAATACTTGATCATTAGCTTAAAGAAATACGGATTGGATTGAGAGAACAAAACTAAGGATATTATTTTTGAAATGTACATATTATATACTAACTGTAAAATCTCTCCATTGTTGGCTACTTTCTTCCTGGCTGAAGGTGGAGAAAATTAACTTTAATTGTGATAGCCTGGAAGGGGCTAAATTTTCAAAGTGTCAGTATGCTGTTATTTCAGGGATGTTTAATAGGTGAGCCTGCAACAACTGAAGATAGCAGGAGGGGTAGGTCTGATGTGTTCCCAAAGTTTCCTTTGCAGTATCTGTAGAGGTATGGTGCTAGCAAGGAAGTTACCAGGATGTCAGAGCATTTCCCAAAGACAGGAAATGATCTTCACTGAATGCTGTCCAGCATACAGACAGCCAAGTTCAGCTATTATAGAATCGTTAAGGTTAGAAGAGATCTCCAAGGCATCGAGTCCAACCATTAACACCACACTGCCAAACCCACCACTAAACTGTGCCTCTAAGTGCCACATCCACACTTTAACACTTCCAGGCCCAGTGATTCTACCACTTCCCTAGGCAGCCTGCTTCAATGCTTGAGCACCTTTTCAGTGAAGAAATTTTTCCCAATATCCAATCTTCCCATGGCACAACTTGAGGCCATTTCCTCTCATCCTGTCACCTATTATCTGGGAGAAGAGACACCCACCTGGCTACACCCTCCTTTCTCTGGTAGTTGTAAAGAGTGGTAAAGTCTTCCCCAAGCGTTTTCTCCAGACTAAAAGCCAGCTCCCCCAGTTGCTTCTCACCAGACTTGTGCTCCAGGCCCTTCACCAGCTCCATTGCCCTTCTCTGGACATGCTTTAGCATCTCAATGTCTTGTCTTGCAATGAGGGATGCAGAACTAAACACAGGATGCAGCCTCACCAACACCAAGTGAGGCAGATCCTCAGCACAGCAGGAGGATCGCTTCCCTAGTCCTGCTGGCCACACTATTTCTGATGCAGGCAAGGATGCTGTTGGCCTTTGTGGACACCTCTGCAGCCAAATCAGTGTAAAGGGACTACAGGATAAAGCTCTGTTAAGGTTTGGAAATTTTCTTAATTATATCAAGAATATAAATTTTCAGTCTTCTCCTGTACTACACCGCCAGCATTTTGGCCAGGAAGTGTGCTTTGGCATGTTGGCTCCTGGTGACCCTCTCCTCACCACTCAGCAGAGATCATAAGAGCAAATTATATTGCTAAAAATGAAGGAATAATGGAGGAGGTATAAGAATGCAGAGTTATGGCTTAGAAATACTTTTCCCCCTGCATTTCTTCATGTGGCTTAACAGTTTATTTTCCTTCCCTCCCTGACTACTTCCTTCCCTGCAACAAATTCTGCAGGTCTCTGGAAGACTCTTTATTTGCAACCACTGTTCTTATTCCTCCACAACAACTGTGCTCCCAGCACACATTAATACCTTTGCCCATTAGACACATTCCTTCTCGTCCCTGATAAGTAACAAAAGTGATAAGGCTTTGAAGTGGATAGGACCCAAACAGGAGGGAAAGATCTGGCCTGACCCAACCCTGTCCTGCTGTCCACCACTCTAAATGTAAGCAAAAGGACCGGGCTGCCAGCTAACCAAGTACAGAGAGCAGTCTGAGAGGCCACTAAAACTTAATTCACTGTGCAGTTGAATAAAAGCCCATCAATTCTGAATGAAAATCTAGACCGCTTTCTCAGAAAGTTACCAACTTGTGCATATCTGATGTCTTTTCTGCAGAATACAGATTCTGATTTCACTAAACAGGTGTGAGGTAGCTTCCCAAAGGAATACCTGTCCCACTCCAGGTGCAGGGGTAAGAAACTTTTAAAATCTCTTGTGGTTTCATTCTCAGCCAGAGTTGCATCATCAATGTTTAATTCAGAATGCTGAAATCACTTTCTCCAACGCCAATGGTCCAACTGAGCTAGGCACATTCTTGGTCATGCAGTCCTCTGTTTCCCATTTGCTTCTCCCAGTTGTAGGTAATTGTACCAAGGCAGAGGAGGGATGAATAAAATCAGACCCTTCAAAACAGCTTTTTCTTAGAAAAACAAGGTTAAGAAGACAGTTTGGTTATCCACAGTCCTATGAGCAGAGTTCCAACAAAAGAAGAAAGCAGGATGGCTGGAATCAGAAGGAGCCTTATCCTGGCTCACAGTCCTGGCATTGATGGCTTGACTGGACAGGTTAGAATCGAGGAGCTCCATAATCATCTGGCATCCTCTCAATATTGTACCTGAGAAAGAAGGAAAACTTATGAAGAAAATCCATTCCACATTGCTCCCTTCCTCACTGTGGTGGTGCATCAACCCCCTCTTCCTCCTCAGGGCTGTACTACCATCTCAATGATTCCTGCTAGGCCTTGGCTTTTGTGTACCGAGTTAGGTGGTGAAGCATCCCTCAACCATACCAGAAAGTCTTACATGACTAAGGTGAGAACAGCACTGACCATACTGGGAACTCCTGTTGCTGGTCTGTGGTGAAGGATGAGATTGTCAGTCATCCTCTGACAATCCTATCTAAGTCATGGCCTGAGTGGAATGGTACCAATGTTACTAGAGTTTTGGAAATTCTAGTAGTTACTAATCTGGATTATGGCCAAGATGGAAAATTTATGCATAACTAAAAGCAATCATCTTGTAACTCTATAAGCAGTGATCTTAAGTGAGGCCCTTAGTGCTTTCCTGGACTGCTGTGGGCTGCACCAGAACCTCTCTGAGGAGGTCTCTCAGTCTCAAGGCTGAGATGCTTGAAGGACAATCACTCAAGCCTTGCCTGTTGAGAAATGCAGAAGCATTCCATGTGTTTCACTGAACCTGAGGGGAAGTTTTAACTGGTACCTTTATACATTTATGTATACATCTTTGTGTCAGGGTGCATGCATGTGAATTGGCTGAAATACTTTTTACTGAGTATAGTATGAATATTGCTTCCTGAAACTATAATTAAGTCACTGCTATAATTGTAGTAAACCTTACTGAATCACTTTATAAATGTTTAATCAGTCAACGATTAAGTGCTTCTAAAATCTAATTAAGACAGAGACTGTTGACCAAGTCTGGGACTAAGATTGGATGCAGCTGCACCTGCACTCCATCAGGAGTTTGGAAAGCAAGATCCTTACTGAACCTCCTGACTCAATGGGAGGGTCTTCCTTTGCACTCCTTTGGTCTCCATGCAAAACATTCTAAAGTGATTCTAAGTTGATTTTCCTTTGTATGTTTCATTCTTTAATATTAGAATGAACCATGCCATTAAACTCTGTTAAGCTGCACTGCTACAATGTTATATTAAAAGCTGCTTTTGCTAGTGTATCTTTCACAGTGATTCTTCAAGTGGACGAAATCATTCATTTGTGACACCCATGCAGCAACAGGCTTACAGGCAGACTGAATAGCAAGAAGCTTTGTTGCATTTCTATCTGCAGCTCAGATCCCCAGGAAGAAAAACATTTCTGAAAGTAAAAGTTCTTCATAAAGTTGCTGTTATTCTTTACCTTAAACTCAGCAATCGGACATCTCAAAAAACTCACCATCTCCAGAGAAGGAAAAAAACCTGCTCTTTTGTGATCTGACTTGGGATTAAAGAGCAGATCACCACAGAAAATAAAATTTTTGACATTCAACTTATAATTCACAGAATCCTTTACATTGGAAAAGACTTCTAAGATCACTCAGTCCAGCCTTTGACTGAATATTACCTTGAGAATTAGACCATGACACTAAGTGCCATGGACAGTTATTTCTTGAACATTCCCAGGGATGGTGACTCCATCACCCTTGACAGCCTTTTCCAAAAGTTCATGGTCACAGTGAATAAGGAGAAAAGGTGTTTTGAGAGAAAAATCTTTTGAGCCACATTCTAATTGTAGATCAGTTAAAACTTTACATATCTATAGCAATCAAGCTCCTCATGCTGCAGGAGTATCCTTCTGAGTTGGTTTGGTTTTTTACTCAAGAAGCAAATTCAATCTCTTAGGGTACACAAAGCTACCAAATAGAATATAGAACAAGAATGGTTCTTTTCTTCAAGAACCTATAGAATGCATTTGCCTGGTAGTCCTGCTGCTGCTGGTAAGCAAAACTTATCTATGGAAACACTGGCCTTAAGGAAACCACTTCTTCAGGTAAAGACAAGTGAACATGAAGACTGCAATAAAAATGGGTCTGTGACCAGTCTCTTCCCAGCAGTAACTGTACCTCAACTTCTGTGTAAACACCAGGCCCTTTACTGCAGCCTGCACTACAGGCAATGAAGGAGACAAGTATGTGGGGACAGAATCCCTGTCAGACAAGGATTGCACTGGGCAGGATTCCTTCCTGCCAAGGGGCCCTTACCTGTGCCTGGAAATATACATTATAGGCACTCCAGGGATTTTTCGTATTCTCCGCTTGAGCTCTTTATCCACTGTGGCCACAATGTAACATTTGTGCTGAAAAAAAAAGAAGGCAAGTGAGATTCAACACCAGCAAACCCTGGAAGGGAGTCATGGCTGACCAATGTTCCTATTCAGTGAGCTCACTGAACACAGGAAGACTGAGAGTCCTTAGCAAGGCATTACCAGGACTTATACAGAATTCTGCAGCAGACTAATAACATCCTTCTGCCCATCAAAATAGACTCAATAAATCTCCGAAACTCTGTCCAGCCTTTCAAGCTGACAGCTTTCCCATCCTAAGTGCTTCTTGATGCTGTCCTATACAGCAAGAATGCTCAGGGAAGATAATACCTTGCATCGAATAAAGTGGTGCTAAAACTGTAAATGCTCCTTGGTGAGATTTTATAGTTACTCTGTTTAAGTCAGTCAGTAATTAGGAGGGTTCAGGAATTTTTAGTAGGTTAGCACAGTATAGAAAATGTCAGAAAGGGAAATACCTGAGTGACCCTCTGCACCAAGCAGTCATCGGCGTAGGTTCCTTTGTGCATACATGGCAAGCGTTCAAACCGAGGGTCCTTGGCAATTCTGTGGGGACATAAAAAGCAGCATCACAACAATCAGACCAGAGAGTACAGGAACACAGTATGGAGGAACAAGAACACTCCTTTCTGACATACAAGACATTGTTCTCAAAACAAAGGATGGAGGGATGGAGTAAATGGTAGACAAGTCAACTGAAATGACCTGCAAGAAAAAAAATAATGCAATTTGTATAGTTATTATAGGTTAAGTATTTCTTAGTACTGGTTTGTTGGATTCAAAATCTGTACAATGTTAGGTCATTGCCAAACAAAGTAATTTGAAATAAGTTATCTGGGGGAAAAACTAGAACTTCTGGCATGTGATCATTTGCAACATACATAAAGGGACATTTCATCTCCTGTCTGAAGGGCACCATCAAAGCTGTTGAGGGTATGCACTCGTATACTTTACAACACAGCAGGCCAAAATAAAAAGAACAATACATCTGAGCAATGTACATGAACTACATTGGACTAGTTTTGTACAGATCACACAAAAACCTGGCTCTAGATGATCAGTACTTGGTACCTACTCATACAGGAATAACACAAAGTATGAATGAAAAGTTCTGTAAGATGGGGGTCACTTCTTTATTCATTTTCAGAAATTCTAGAATTAATTTTTTTTGGAGAAACAGTGTAAAGCATTACATTGAAAGTCTTAGGAGTTTAAAAGATTTACAAATTAATATTGTGCATTCATACGTAGCATTTTGTTTCTAAAACTTGAACCATTATACAGATCGCATAGAGATAGAGAAATAAAACCAAGTTTGGGATCCTGCAATAATCTAACCACCCTCTAGTGCAGGAGTACCAGTCATAGCAAGTGTTTTCCATTTATTTATATTAAAGCATTAAGTTCTAGAACCAGAGAAGAACGCCCTATACCTACCTTAATGCCACACGGTACTTCTGTCCTAACTTCTCGATTTCACCCATTACACAATCTGTGATACATGGAATACCTAAATGCAAAAAAAGCCCATATTAAAGCAGGATTTATTCCAGACCCCTACATAGTGCCCACATGCCCCAGAAACATCATGGAACTCTATAATGTATGACTTACAGTGACAGCTAATAATATTGCAAGGTGTTGAAATGCAGAGCCACCAAGTTTAACCATGCCATGGTAATTTTAGATTTTTAAGTTATTAGTACTCTACCTTTGCTGAGATTAGCACTTTAAAACTGTTACTTTACTGAAACCAGAGACATTGCCAAGGTTACCACAGCTCCATGATTATACCATATATTCTTTTTACAAGATTTCTGTTATTCTCAGCCCGTTGCATGGGGGTAACAAGGAACATTGTGAGCCCACTGTTGCACTGTGTGGTCTGAAGAAGCTGTGAGCGCTGCAGAAACTCACACTTGGCATAGAGACAGTCCATCATTGACTGCACTAGGTCCAGTTTGGCCTTGATGGAGAAGTTGATGAAGTTAGTGTCAACCAGGATGTGGTAAGGGGGACCCAGCTGTGTATTATACTGGAAGAACAAGCAAGAGGGATGCTGGGGGCTGCCAGGAAGACAAAGAATTCAAATCAGTTAATTGCATTTAACATCACGTCCAATCCTACAACTTGTACAGGATGAAAGATGGATAGTGAGTGGAAAGACCCATCAGACCTCCTGCTGCAGCCCAAGCACAATCCTTCGGTTTGGGGTACAACTTCTTCTGACAGTATCGCTTAGAAACACTCTAAGTTCCAGCCTGCAGCGTGGCCGGCCCTCCCTCTACCCTTCTCTCCCTCCCCAGTGCCTGGGCAGCACTTACACCTCCCGCTCTTTGATGGCACTTGGGTCCTCCTTCTTCTTCACGGGGGCTTTTGCGCGATCCTTCTCCTTACTGCAAAGAAACATAGGCACTACTGGGGTACAGCGATAAGGAAGGGCTGCTAGCGGCGGAGAGACCCGGGCAGGGACCTCCTCCCGCCTCTCCCGAGCGGGACACGAGGACGCTCCAGGGCCCCGCGCGGGCCCGGGCCCGGCCGCAGCCACACTCACATGCGCTCATCCCGGAGGCTGATCATGCGCTTCATGACCGCGTACTTCCGCGCCTTCTTCTGCTTCCCCTGCAAGGACACGGACACACAGCCGCGATGAGCTAAGGAGAGCCCCGATCCCAGCCGGACCCCGAGCCCAGCCCGCTCCCGGCTCACCATGCCGACCCTGCCGGCGCTGCCGCCGCCACTGCCGGTGTCTCCGGTGCGTCACTGCGCCCCGCCCCGGGAGCGCGTCATCTCCGGCTGCCAGCCCCGGGCAGCGCCAGCGCGGGGCCGCGGCAGCGGGGTTGCGGCCGTCGTCGGAGACCACGGTAACAGCGGTAGCGCGTTTGCCTCCCCGCCTTCTCGGGTCCGGGCGCGGGGTAACGGGCTCCCGGGGCGAGGGAGCTGCAGCCGCAGCCCTGCCGCCCCGCCGTGCCGGGCGTCCCCCGGGGTGACGGCCCCGCTGCCGGCCCGGAGCACCCGCGGTGGGCCTGGTACAGCCGCGGCTCCGAGAGGGCCGCGGTGGGGCCGAGCTCCCGGCGAGCGGGAAGGGCCGGCTCTGCCTGCCGTGTGGCGGCCTCCGGCTCTTCAGTCGGGCTCAGGCTCGCCGCCTGCGCGGCGCTGCGGGGGTAGCGGGGCACATGTTAGTAGTGGGGGCGAGCTGGCGCCTGTGGAAAGGCCGCGGGGATGGGCGGCCCCACCGAGCCCACCGCTGCTGCAGGCTGGAAGGGGAACCGCAGCACAGCAATCGCCCTCCTGCCCTCTCGTCTCTGTTTAGCAGAGCCGGGACGTTACGGAGGTCTTCAGCTCACTCACTTGAGCTTGCTGGACTGTTTTGGGTATTTTTAAGAGTTAATGTAGTGCTGGTTTTTTCACGCCTTAGTTCATGAACTTCTTAATGAAAAACAGTGGGTCGTCATTATCTTTAGATTTTACCAATATTTGTGATCAGAAATCTTAGCGAATGAGCATAATTTTAGCTGTACTTCATGCAGCCGTAATGGTGTAGTCTGACCCAAAATGTCTTTTCTGCACATGAACCAAAATGTTCTCCAAGGTCTTGGGCCGGTCCGGGGCACTTGGTTTCTCGTGCCCTGTGCAGGGAAGGGAGAAAAAAAGGCCTTTCTCACGAAAGCTTCTGGGATTAGTGAGCTTTTGTAACTGCTGGTATCTTCCAAATACAACCGGTTTTATCTGGTGTGCTGGTCAGAAAAAGCAGCCAATGAGGAACCACTCAGGAGTTTTTTCCTGAAGTAGTGGCCTCTGTAGAACTGTGACTTATGCTCTGACAATGAGGAAGAAAATTAGACTGAAAGAAAAACCGTGTTTATTAGGAAAACCACAGCTGAACTTTCCACCTGAGTGATCATACCTATCTTAACTGTTGGTTGAAGAAATGCAATTGGTAGAGTTCACATGATGCTGTTCAAGTGACCCTGAGTGGTTTGAGAAGAGAAATAATTGAGGAAGAAGAGGGTGATCTGCTTTGCCACTGATGTGCAGCAGGGCTAGTGGCTGAATTTTGTCCTGGCTTAGGAAGCAGATTTGGTGTCAAGATGAGACTGGCTGGCTTGCTGTGTTTGAGGAGGACAGGAGGAGCTGACAGACTTGGTGGTGGTTTATTCACAATAAAAAAAGTCCTTAGACTTAAGCAGTTGACAGAAGTCTCTTTTTCTTTTTTTTTTGTTTTCCTGTTGACACTGTTTTATATAGCTTGTATGTAAATTCATATGACAAATCCCATCCCTAATAAGAGAATGACTGTTTTGTGTAGACACTGACCATTGATGCAGTTTTTGTCTTTGACAGCTGATACTGGACTCTGTTTACTGTTTTTTGTGCTGACTTTTCAGTTTTCCGTGAGTGTATTTTAAAGTTAAGTTCTCATGGGCATTCCTGTTTGTTGGTTTATGCCTGCTTTACTTAGTGTGAGAAAATACTGTCTCTGCTAGAGAATAGTCGTCTGTGTATGGCATGAGACAGACGTGCCATTGGGGGTGGACATTTTTGCACATGGATTGAGAGATTCACCACTGAGATAAATGGTTCTCTTATCTTGATTGGATGAGGTAGTATCCTGAAGAAAGGCTTTAAAACAAAATTAAAGGTTTGTTGTTAAGAGCAGAATGGCAATTTATCAGTGCACCAAATAAAATCAAGAGGCACAGCAGATTTCCTAGGAGCTCAGTGCATGCATTCTGTGTAGCATGCCCCTAGCTGGTTTTGTATCTGTGGCCACATGAATGTGCCATTACTATGTTACAGTTCCTTCTGTATGTGTTACACTTGTGCTTCCTTCTGGAGCTCTGCACTGTGTTCCTCTGGCAGCAGCACAAGCTAAATGTATTCCTGTTACTGAACTTCCTTTCCTTGCTGACTTGAGGAAGCAATGGCACTGATGCAGTTTATTTTATGATTCCATGCTGTCTACCCTGATTGTGCCAGTACATCTCTCTCCTTGAGTCAAACGAAGGTGAAGCTTTCAAATCCCCATTTTCCCTGCAGGTGGCAGGAGACCATCACTTGCTCTGTCCTTGGATTGAGATTACTAAAACCTGTTGGATAATTCAGCACTTTTTCTTCCAGCCTAGCTATGATGGCACCTTATATTGCCGCTTCTCAGAATTTATTTCCCAGATAGTTACCCAGCAGTTCTCAGCACAGTTACCGTTTTAATTCACATCTGCATTCTTTTAAATGAGTGGCACTGTATCTTGGATACCACCTACTTACAACTATGTTCTTCACCTCAATGTGTTCCAGCTGCAAGAGCACCCTTAAGGCTGCTGGCAGTGAGTAAGCTATAAGGAAGTTGATTGTATAACAGCCACTTCATCTCTGGTGACCACCCAGATTGGTGTCTTGTTTACCACATCATGTAGGGATAATAAAATGACAAGTTGCTGTGCTGATTAACTAATAAAACTGAGATAACTGATTCCCTGTGTCCAGTGAGTTCAAAAATTCTGCAAACCAGATCAAGAGATTCAGGTTCCAATTGACTTTAAAAATCCTGAAGTTTAACTGATGGATCTTTCTATGCTTGAGAGAGAGGTTGTGTGACCTGTGGTGAGCCTCACAGAAGGCAAGAAGTTGTGGAGTGAAGCAGAAATAGCTTGAGGAGATGGACCCACTTTGTGGGAGACAACTTTGTCGGTTTTTTGTGACATGAAGATGCTGGAAGGAGATCTTGTAGATTCCTAATATTGATAAGTTTCTGTGAAATTCCCCAGCTGTGTGGGGAGCAGTCACACACATTCCACAGCCAGGCCAAGCTAGAGCAGAGTTTCAGCCAGTCATTTGTAGCACATCTTGGATATGTACTGTTGAAATAGCTAAAATACCAAGGAAATTGGTAGGTCCTTAATTGTGTGGTCCTTAACAGAGAGAAATTTATAATTTTAGAAAGCTGATGCTTTACTTAGGAGGAGAATGAGAATTTATGCCTTGAGGACTGCAACACTGTTGCACTGGGGAAAAGTAGAGGAAGGAGGAAAATAGATGAGTGGGTGGGACTTTCCTTGAGAGGTGGGTGAGGAAAAGACAGTGAAAGTCTGGCTGTTTCTGCAACACAACCAAAAAGCTCTGCACAGGTTTGCTGGCTGATTTTCATGTACATTAGAAGGGTTAGTAGAAGTGTGTAAAGGCAGCCAGATCTGTATGATTATTGGCATGGAGGAAAATAAGAGCCATCTGAAGAGGAAAATAGATGAGTGGGGTCTAAGGAAGAAGTGACAGCTGAGGTTGTGGAATGGTAGGCAGGAAGAGCACATCACATCCCCAAAGAGGTGACTATTTTAACGCACAGCTGCCTTGGTGAGCCTGGCTCTGTTAATTTCATTCTCACTCCTTTATGTAATCTGTGCTCTGAATGAGCAGATACTGATTGTGTAGGCTCTGTGGTGTTTCTTCTGGCATGTGTCCTGGTTTTTGTGAGCTGCGTCAATCCTTGCTGTTAAATTTTAATTTTTTTATCTCAATCCTGACAGTAAACTGTAATTTAGTGGATAGTACTGCTGAAGCTGAAATCCCTTATGGGGATCGCAATTTCCTGAATACCTAAATCAACAGTACCAAACCCAAAATCTAGTTTGTTTGTGGTTCAAGAATTCTGAAAAACCTGTTTTCTTTTATTTTGAGGCTTGACTACAAATAGCCTTTTAAATCTGGGCAAAATAATTTTGAAGATAGTATATATATTTGTTGGGTATGAAGGGCTACCTTGACTGTAGAATGGTTTGGCTTGGAAGAGACCTTAAAGATCATTTAATTCCAACTTCCCTGACATTGGCAGGGATGCTTTCCACTAGACCAGGTTGTTCAAAGCCACTTGGTTGTGAACACTTCCAAGGATGGAGCAGCCACAACTTCTCTGGGCAACCTGATCTGGTTCCTCACTACTCATGTTGAAGAATTTCTTCCTTATATCTAATCTAAACCTACACTCTTTCAGTTTGAAGTCCTTCCTTTTGTCCTATGTCCTATCACTACATGCCCTTGCAAAAAATCCCTCTGATCTTCTAGTGCAGTGGGCAGTTCTTCATTTTCTCAGTCTCTACATTTGTCTTCTGTGACTAGGTTGCTGTGGCTGGAGCAGTTGCTGGTGAAGGCTGAGGGAAAAAAGTTAAGTACCTCATCCTTCTCGTTGTCCTGCATAACCAGGTCTTGTTTCCTTCTGGAGAGGACACATGTTTTCCCTAGTCTTTCTTTATCACCAATGTACCTGTAGAAAGTCTTCATGGTGCCCTTGATATCCCTGGCAAGGTTTAGTTCTATCAGGGGTTTAGCTTTTCTAACCTGATCCTTGGCTGTTGAGACAATCTCTCTGTAGTCCTCCTAGGCTATCGGTTATTGCTTCCATCCTTAATACTCCTTTATGAACAGCATGCAGGTTCTTAGCTGCTCCATGAAACCTATGGAGGCAGGGATGTGTTTTGTTTTAATTTGAATGTGCAAGTTTTAGGGGGTCCTATAATGAAATGGGATTATGACAGATAGAGGTGGAGGATATGGTTAAGCTTTGCACCTCATCTACAGTGGTACTTTTATAACACCTCTCATGGATTTGATGTCTAGTGATGCTCTTGCATCTTGCACCTCTCATGTGTTTCTGCTTGCTAGATTTATCCACAATGTAGACATCTAACGTTTCTCTCTTCTTTTTTTACTTTTCCAGGAAAGCTAGCAAACTGCAGGCTAAGGGAAAAGCACTGCA